GCGGACACAGACCTCACTAAGGGGAAGGTGGGGGAGGGGGGATGTCTTACCAGTTCATGCACCACATCATCAACTAGAACACCCCGCACGCTGAATCCTAAAGCAAATCTTTTTGAAGAAAGGGCTGTTGGCTTACAGATCTACCTCAGATCGCCTGGACAACTCCCTCCACCTCCCTATATCACTCATGCTTTTTGCAGTTTTCGGATTTATCCTCTGAGTTCTAGCAGAACTTCTTCAATCTGTCTTCACGAAGTTTCTGGTAGCTCTGCCTCTGTGCAGTGTTTCATTTGGCATTTACAGTTTGATTCTCCAGGAAAATATTCCCTGATCTCAAATGGATCCTTCCTTGGGACTTCTTGCTCTGTATCAGCCAATGTTCCTTTCCATGTGGCAGGACTAGAACAGGAGTTTTTTATGGGCAAGAAACAGAAACGCCACTGAAAGAGGCCTGAGGGAAGAGGAGACTTTATGAAAAAACGTGGGGCAGCTGACGGGCTGCAGGTCGTCTGGGTTCTAGGCTGTCTCCAGGGACCTCAGACAGAGACTAGACTAAGGTTTCATGGGGCCACATCTTTCCCGTTCTCTCTTGCTCGCTCACTCTCTCCTCTTTAACTTTGCTGGCTTCATTTTCTCCTAACGCAGTTGGATTTTTGCCCCCTGGTTAGAAACATGAACACTAGCAACACCAAACACATATCCTTTCCACTTGGTAAACAAAGAGGTCATAGAATGTGTTCCTTCTGGAGTGAGGGAGTCTTCACTGGGGTGGACTCACTGGTCAAGTCTGGGTCTCCTTCCCAGACTTGTGTCCATTGGATGAGGCCACTAAGCAAAAGAGGTGAGGGAGGGATGCTGAACAGGTTAGACAATTATATCCACTTCATACACTTTCTATAATGTCGTGTATGTTCCCCATAGGTTTGAGAATCCCCCTTGAGCCTCCAGGGCAGCCTCCTCTTTCAACTGGCAACATCTTGTTATAGACACAGAGATGTCTCAGTGTTTGCTCCTTTGGGAGAAAGCCTGCTGGACAGACGCATGGCTGGGCAGCTAACTGCTGCTCCACGACAGGAGAGGAGAAGGGTTCTGTCAGGGTTTGCTTAGCCCCAATTCCAGAAGCATTTCAATGGCAGCTTTTATGGAGCTTCTGTTAGGTTTCTGTTTGTTATGAATAAATGAATCCCCACTCAATGGCCTTAAGAAATTAGGAAGATTTACTGGATCCCGTAACTAGAAAAGTCCATCCTTGGGGGATGGTCAGATGTGACAGAGCCACGGTTCCAGCTTTGGTTCTTGGCATTTTCCCCGGCCGCCTCTTTCCCTTGAGTCAGATTCATCTACTGCTACCGAGTTGGCTGCGCAGATCTAAGCCCCACCTGACAATATCCAGAGGAAGACAGATGGTCTCTTCCGGCAGGTATTTCTGAAGCAGAAGGACATCACTTTTCCAGAAGCTTCCAGCAAACGTATCCTTACATTGTATTGGCTCCCATTAGTTATTAACCCTTTTATGAATCCATTTCTGTGTCCAGGGAAATGTTGTGTGTTGATTTGCTGCCTTCCTAAACCAACCGATGGATGGCAGGGAGGACAAAAGTCCCCTTAGGCCAAGCAGGCCAACACCCATGGGGTGGTGGGGGCATGAAGTCAGTGTAAGGGCTGATGTAAAGGAAGATGGGAACCTGAGGGAAGGCTGGGATGCTGCTGGGAAGGAGGAAGTGGGTACAGGGCAGGAAACCCATGAAGAGAGCCAAACTTGGTTTCCAAGTCTGATGCAAGTCCTCACCATTTTAAACTCTGTTGTAGGGGCCCCTGGGAGGCTCTGTCAGTTAAGCATCTGCCTTTAGCTCAGGTCAGGATCCCAGGGTCCTGGGATTGAGTCCTGAGTTGGGCTCCCTGCTCAGCAAAGAGTCTACTTCTCCCTCTGCCCCTTCTCCCACTCATCCTCTCAATCTTTCTCTCTCTCTCTCTCAAATAACAAATATATAAAATGTTTTAAAAAATACTATTCTAAAAGAGCCATTGTTAAACACTGGGCATAGGATGATTAAATAACTAGTACAGAGAACGGTGTCAGGGATTTTCCGCACCATACCAAGAACGTAGCAGCAAAACCCAGCTTGCCCGGTGAAGAACAAAGGCAGGTGTCAAACATCAAAAAGGATCCTTTCCTCCCTGCTCTGTGTCTGTTTGGGGTAATTTATCCACATGGTCAGGATCTGCTCTATTCCCCTTCAAGCTCCCCATGGTTACCCTATAGGCTGCCCACATCATTCCCCCCAAAGAGTATTCCGTTCTTCCCTTGGGGCATTGTCCCTTCCGCACTGGGTACTTGCGTTGATGTTGTCATGTGGGAGTTCAAGGAGCCAGACTGACTCTCCCGACTTCAGTTCAGAGTATGAGTGTGAGACCTCCACTCAGCCAGCCAGGTGCTCTGCCCTGGGGCTTGTACTCTTGCACAAGTGACGTTAAGACTAAAGAGGGGAAGGTTGATGCTATTGGTTGTAGCCTAGGTGGAAGACGAATTGATTGCTATTTTGAACGGATTTCTTCGGTTATGAGACCATTTCTGGACTTCCTGTGAACTCTGTTTAGCTTCTTGGCCCTCCAGACACCCTTGGTTCCTTCTATCTTCAAGTCTGACTGTCGGGTTCCCATCCATGCGGACAGCCCCTCTGAGCCTTTGCTCAAATTACCCAGAACTGGCTTCTGTCACTGGTGACCAAGACCCCCAACTGATCACAGATGCCTACCGTTCTGTTTTTGACTCTGCTTCTAACTTAGTGATAAGTTGTTGTCAGTTTCCCTCTATGTAAAATTAGGGAAGGAGACTAGACCTGTGTTCTGTAAATCTTCTTCAGTCACAAAACAAACAAACAAACAAAAACCTTTGCAAAAACAAAATCTTGATGGGAGCAAATCAATCCTAAAATTGATCAGCACTGCTCTGGCCAAAAGGTTTCTCCAGAATGCTGTCGTCTTGGCTCTTTCTCAAGAGTAGCAACACTGTGACTTCTGCTCTGATATGTAATGGGAAAGGATTCCACTTCCCCTCTCTCATCGCAGCGAAAGATAGCCTGGGTCCATTTCATTAACTCAGGGAGGCATCAAATGGGCAGTTTCTCATTGACAAAGACTCATTTCTTCTTGAAGAAACGCGCTAAGCAAATGTCTGTGGCATGTTTAAACACGCGCATGCGCACGCACATAATGCGACTGCCAAGTTTTCGGGCCACTTAAAATTTCTTTAAATTTTTATTTTAATTCCAGTGTAGTTGACATATATTAGTTTCAGGTGGGCCGTATAGTGATTCCACACTGTTCTGTACAGGAGTCAGTGCTCCTCGGGACACGTGCCCTCCTTAATCTCCATCACCTGTTTCCCCCAACCCCCACACCCCATCTCCCTTTTGGTAACCTCAGTTTGTTCTCTAGAGTTAAGAGTTTGTTTATTGGTTTATCTCTCTCTTTTGTCTCTGTCTCTCTCTTTTTTGTCTCTCTCTCTCTCTCTTTCTTGTCTCTGTTTCTCTCTTTCTTTGTTCATTCGTTTTGTTTCAGAGCACTTTTTAGTGTGGAGAAGGCGAAAGAAAACCACAAAAAACAAAGAACAAAAGAGTATGAGAGTGAGGATGTTTTTCTGCTCTCTTTAAAGCATTTGTGCATCTGTGTCTTATCCACTTTATTTTATTGGGTCTTTGAGGGCTAGAGTTAGGACTTTTTTCATGACAAATATATAACTTAGTACTTTTTTTTTTTTTTTTTTTTTTGGTGAAACAAAACTAGTATGACTTCCACCATTAAGATCTGATGTAATTAATAGCATGTGATGTATTTAAACACTGTCCCTCCCCTTGTCCAGGTACTGGGCTATGGATTTACACACAGTCTCAGATATTTTCAAATGACTCTCTGAAAAGGTACCATCTATGATTCCTGTTTTATAGCTGAGGTCAGTGAGGCTCAGAGAGGTTAAGTAACTTACCTAAGCTCACACAGCTAGTAAATAACCACTGACTGTGTGGCTCCAAAGCTTACATTCTTCCAAATATGACTCTACTCATTTAGATAGTGCCATGCATGGGGATCTTTTAAAATGTAGAGTAAGCTGACCATATATTTCAGTGGTCATTCATCTTTCTGATCTAGAGAGCCCTCAAAGGTAAGACCTGTAACTCCTGACTGAAGAAGCACCAGAGACCTCTGGACTCCTCTCCTGGTTCCAAGTACCTTTGCCCGGAACTAGCAGAGCTAGTTCTTAAAAGGAGCAAACCGGTTAGCAGTGGGCATGCTTCTCTTCTACAGTCAGTTGAAATTTCCTGTGGGAAAGCAAACTAATTTTTTTTTAAAGATTTACATACTTATTTATTTATTTTAGAGACAGGTGGCAGGAGGGAACAGAGGGAGAGAGAGAAAATCTCAGGCAGGCTCCCCGCTGAGCGCTAAGTCCTGATGCCAGCCCATCCCATGATCCTGAGATTAGGACCTGAGCTGAAATGAAGGATCATCTACCCAATGGACTGAGCCACCCAGGCCCTGCAAACCAAACCAATTTTAACAAACCAGAACCAGGAAGAGGAATTTGCAACTGAGAAAGACCTTTTGTGAAAATGAATTCTCTGAAGCTAATTTTGGGATTGGGGACATGAAACCAGAAGATAATTATGATCTGGCACAAATAATCCTAATCTCTATTCTTGGTTATCGACCACATTGTCTGTGTTAGCTGTTACCATTTCTAATAATGATGGTTCTCTACAGGTAATCCAAAGGGTATTGGCTCCAAAGGAGTTCATCAATGTATGCCTATCCATGTTTTATCACGAGTTAATACATTTCCAGGTACTGGTCCTGAATATGCCACTACGTAACTGAGTGGCCTTGGATGAGTTACATAAACCCACTGGGCCTCAGTTTCTTCGTCTGTGAAGTGAGGGATTTAGATGAGAGCCTCTGTAAACTTCAACTCTAAAATTCTAATTTTGCTGGTTGTTTTGAAGGACCGGAGGGCCATGCAATCCCACATGTGTCCAGCAGAGGTCAGAAGATGTCACCAAAAGCTCTGAGTTCTCCAATAATCCAGGTTAACGATGTAAATTTTTCTTTCTCGCTCCCTCCCTCCGTTCCTTCCTTCCCTCTTTCCTTCCCTTCCCTTCCCTCTTCCCTTCCCCTCCCTCTTCCCTTTCCCTTTCCCTTCCTTTACCTCTTCCCTTCCCTTCCCTTCCTTTCTTTTCGCTCTGTACATAGATAGCTTCATAGTAGTCCCTATTTTCCATGTTACTTCCCTGATTTTTACAGTTAGGGCACGCATAAAAGCAGGCATTTTTCCTGAAAGATCAGAGTAGAGATGCATTGTCTGCTTCAGGCTTCCTTGTCAAATGTAAACCATTTCCCAACTGGTTAATGCCTGGTGAACAAGGGTAACTTGTCTGACAAGTGACATCAAGGGCTAGGGGCAGTTTTATATTTAGACTAAGTGTGAACAGTAAGTTTGCTACAGAAAATTCTATGTCAGGAGCATCTGGGTAGCTCAGTTGGTTGAGGGTCTGCCTTTGGCTCTGGTCACTGTAGGGTCAGGCTCCCTGCTTGGTCGGGAGTCTGCTTCTCCCTCTCCCTCAGCTCCTCCCCCAGCTCATGCTCTGTCTCTCTCTCAAATAAGTAAATAAATAAAATCTTTTTTAAAAAAGAACATTTCAAAATTTTCTTTTATAGTCATCTGTTATAGAGAGTCGTCAAAACTCTAACAGTAGATTCTTGAATCCTACCCAATGACTTATTTATTTATTTATTTTTAAAGATTTTATTTATTCATTTAACACAGAGAGAGATCACAGGTAGGCAGAGAGGCAGGCGGGGAGGTGGGGGGAAGCAGGCCTCCCGCCAAGCAGAAAGCAAGATGTGGGGCTTGATCCCAGGACCCTGAGATCATGACCTGAGCCAAAGGCAGAGGCTTAACCCACTGAGCCACACCCAGGCACCCCAACCTATTTATTTTTGAAACATATTTACCTTAGTGAAATTCTTTTCCTGGTTTTGGTTTTTTCCCCAGCTTTACTGAGGCATAATTGACATGTGATATTGCGAATATTGAAGATGTGTAAGTTACAGAACATGTATATGCGACATGATTATCACAATGAGGTTAGTCAACACATCTGTTACCTCACAGAGTTAAAAATCTGAAGAGTCTGGTCACCAATATTTCTCTCTCTCTCTCCTGGTCTCATCAGAAAAATTATTTGGGAAATAGACCATCACAGAGATAGAGGCTTCCTAATAAATATTTAAATATGATATGCATTGTTTTTTTAGGCAGAAACTGGATGACTGGTTTACATATGGATTGAATTGAAGGAACTGAGAATTAAAGAAAGGCCTACAGCCAGGTCAAACCCATCCCAGTTGTCCAAACAGTACATTCTGAATAAATATTCTGGTGGTTACAAAGTTTGGCCCTCTTGGTAAGACAGACCGGCATTTGAACCTTGCTAACGTTCCTTAACCTCCCCAGAAATAAACTCTTCAATTTCTTTATCTGTAAAATGAAGATAGTGATAAGACTTAAGACTTTAAGATTGTTGTGAGGATTCAATAAGATAATATTATGTCAAGAATGTAGCCAAGCACGAGCCACATAACAAAGGATCACTTGGTGAGTGCCTTTGTTGTCCTACCTTATTTGGGAGGACTCAGCAGTTTTTAGAAAAAACAAACCCAGATGAATATCACCACGCCCTTCTCTTGACTAACCCAGACCAGGTCTGAGGTCTCTCTCACGCGATTCTGCCATCACTTCGGAGAGGCCCCTCCTGACTGGGGCCAGCATCCCCTTCCCTTGCCTTCCTGCGGGAGGTGAGGGGATAGTCAGTGGCCTTCTCTCCCTCCCAGGGTTCCACCCGTGGTCTCTGGCCTTTGTTTCTTATCTAATAGAGCACTGAACTTTTCTCTTATACCGCACTCGCTATTTTTCCTCTGCTCTGACAAACTCCTCCAGGAAAGGCCTGGACCCCCCTCTTCCTCTCCTAGACCAACAGCCCAGCCAGGAAGGATGGGCTGCATTATGAGGAGAGCCTAGAGTGTGGAGACCAAGAAAGCAGGGAGACCTACATATGCCGTGCAGGAGAAGCTGTGTCGTGCTCTGCTTCTGCGATAAGGTGCATAGGCAGTGTAGCAAGCAGGGGGACGGTGTAGCAAGATGGGGCTCCTCAGAAGGCCAGAGGGGGGACGGTGAGGGAGCATGACTGAGCAGAACACTCCAGGCTGGATATCGCGTGTACTGCTGGCAGGGTCGGGAGTGGGCCGGGCAGGAACTGCTACCATCTGCCCACATTCCAGAGACCATTCCAAGGACTCAGGCCAGAGTCGGAGGGAGGTCGCTGAGGGACCTCCCAATGACCCACATTCAAAACCAAAAACTGAGGGGTGCCTGGGTGGCTCCATCAGTTAAGCATCTATCGGCCTTTGGCTCAGGTCCTGATCCCAGAACAATCCAGCACCGCACAGGGCTCCCTGCTCAGCGGGGAACCTGCTTCTCCCTCCACCTGCCGCTGCTTCTGTTTGTGCTCTCGTGCACTTGCTCTCTCAAATAAATAAATAAATAATCTTAACACACACACACACACACACACACACACGCACGCACAAATTGAAAGCTAGATGGCTGCTTCCTATGTTTCCTTATTCCTTCCCTCTGACCATAGCTCAGAACTCCCTGGAAAGGGTTTAAAACTCTTAAGGGGGGGCACCTGAGTGTCTCAGTGGGTTAAAGCCTCTGCCTTCAGCTCAGGTCATGATCTCAGGGTCCTGGGACCGAGCCCCACATCGGGCTCTCTGCTGGGCGGGGAGCTTGCTCCCACCTCTCTCTGCCTGCCTCTCTGCCTACTTGTGATCTCTGCCTGTCAAATAAATAAATAAAATCTTAACCAAAAAAAACCCAAAAAAACTCTTAAGGGTTTCTGTTGACTCAAATGAAAAGAAAGTGGAAGGAAATGTTGATTCAAAGAGAAACCTGCTTTCGTCAGCAAATGACTAGATCCTAATTCTGACTCTGGCGAGGGTCTTGCCTGCACCCAGCCCAGCTCTTTGCTCCTCTGCCCTCGTTTCTAGAGCCTGTCGTGGAGCCCTGGAGTAATGATGACAAGCCCATACCTTGAGGAATGGAGGAAGCAGCAAGTATAATTTGTGATTCTTGGTATCTGTTGCCCACATATTCCAGACAGCACAGGAGACAGGTTGCTGTCGATGTAATTTAAAATGCCCAAAAATGTAATGTCAATGTCAATGTCATGTCAATGTAATTTAAGATGCCAAATATTTAAGAAACCAAAAAAATGATACCTCACACCCTGTAGGAGAACTACTACCCAAAAAAAAAAATAAAAATAAATAAATAAAAAGAAGAAGAAGAAAAAGAAGAAGAAACGAATGAAAGAAAAAAAAAGGAAAAGAAGAAAAGAAGGGAAATAACAAGTGTGGGCAAGAAAGTGGAGAAATTGAGACCCTCGTGCACCGTTGGTGGGAATGCAAAATGGTGCAGCCTCGGTGGAAAAAAGAGTATGAAGGTCCGCCCCCCTACCCCACAAAATTAAAACTGGAACTGCCCCACAATCCAGCGATTCCACTTGTGGGAATGCACCCGAAAGAACTGAAAGCAGAAACTCGAAGAGAAACTTGTTCCCCTGTGTTCAGAGGAGCACTGTTCACAAGAGCCAAAAGGTAGAAGGAATCCCGGTGCCCATCTTCAGTTAAATGCATAAACACAATGGGCTGGATACCTACAATGCCAACGGCATAGTGTTCAGTCTGCCACATGCCACCACGAAAATGAACCCAGAGGACCTCATGCTCAGCGAAAGAAACGGGTCAATAAAAAAATACAAATTATCATAAGCTTCCATTAATAGGAGATACTTAGAAGAGTCAAATTCATAGAGACGGAAAGTAGAACCCAGGAGCTACTGGGTAATGGGTGCAGAGTTTCAGTTTTACTAGATGAAAGACATTGTGGGGATAAAAGGAGCAGATGGGAGCAGGATAGTGTGCGAATGTACTTAATACCGCTGGACTGCACACTTAAACACAGTTAAGGTGGTAAATTTTATGTTATGTATATTTTTGAACAATAAAGAAATGGAAAAAAAAAAACATAATCAGGCATATGTCATTGGAAAACCTCTCCCGGAAAGGGGTAATACTAAATATTGAACAGGTATTCGTGCATTTATAATGATAGTCGCCACTTATTTAAGAAAGACCGTAAAGCCCCATAAGTGCAATAACTCTGTTCTTCCCATTTTACAGACAAGGAGAATGGGCGGTAGGGAGATGAAGCAATTTGCTCAAATACCGACAAGTAGTTGGTCCCAGGTATGCATGACTGCAAAGCTGGAACTCTCTAACTCCTCAGTCTCTTTTTTTTACAAAGAATTCCCTGCTTTGCTCACCCTCTTCCAGAGTCATTGGCAGCCTTGAGGTTCTTCCGGCAGTCCTGCCTCAGGACCTTTGCAGGTGCTCCTCTCTCCACCCAGAACATGATTCCCCTAGATGTTTAACATGACTTCCCCTTCTGTCACTTCTGTCAGGTCTCTGCCTACCCGTCGCCTTATTATTAAGGCCTTCCCCTCCAAAATGAAATAGTATACTTCCTCTTCCTCTTTCTCATTCCTCTCTAGCCCTGACTGGTTTGATTGTTCCTTGTCTGACTCCCCGACTAGGACAGAAGTCCCCCGAGGGCAGAGGTCATTGTTTTCCCCATGGCTATATCTTCCCAATCTATGAATAAGTGAATGAATGAGTGGCTACTGGGACTAGTATGACCGATGGGCAGAGCCGCTGTGGTCTACATGTCTACCCCCTCTACGCCCTCATTCTTTTTACCACTGATTTAACTTACAGCAGGGCCCGTTTCTAGAAGCACAGTTCAGTAGCCAGGAACGACACCACCCTCCTTCACTCCCTCTTCCCCATTCCACTCTTTATCAGAAGATTGGCTTAATCATCCCAGAACCTCCGTCCCTAAGCACTCCCCTTCGGACCTCTCCTGCCCATTGTCTGGCTCACAGACGTAGTAAAGGCGAGTCTAAGTAGGGTTAGGAGTGTGAGCAGGACAGGTAGCCAGCAAATGTAAGAATCTGGGGTGCAGTTGGGGGATGTCTATAAACACTCCCTGTTTGATCCCTGAAATCCCACTGTGATCTCTTTCCTCAGACTAGTTTATTCTAGCAAGAATGAACTTCCTTTCGGCCAATCAAATTGGCCAATTTGAGCTTTTCAAAATGTGGCTCTAACGTGCTTGCCTATACCCCCACCCCTGCGGCCATCCTATCCCAGGTCCAGGTCCCCAGCGTGTGGGCCCCCAAGGCAGTCACAGCCCCCTCCAGAATCATCCACCTTCGCCAGCTCCCTTTACTCCAGACTGGAAGTTTCTTTCTTTCTTTCTTTCTTTTTTTAATTAATTAATTTATGTGATAGAGATCACAAGTAGGCAGAGAGGCAGGCAGAGAGAGAAAGGAAGGGAAGCAGGCTCCCTGCTGAGCAGAGAGCCCGATGCGGGGCTCGATCCCAGGACCCTGGGATCATGACCTGAGCCGAAGACAGAGGCTTTACCCCACTGAGCCACCCAGGCGCCCCCAGACTGGAAGTTGGCAGCCTTGGCAATAGGCAATGGCAATAGGCTAGCACAGCCTCTGGCACAGGGCTGGGAGCCCAGAACCCAGAGGGTGATGTTTCTCTGATAATTCATCTTTCCTCCAGTTCCCTCTGGCCCCCTTGGAAGGACAGTGGTTGGGGGAGAGGGCTTGCTGGGCTGAGTTCAAGAAGGGCCAGAAGTCTGAGAAGGTGTAGGCTCTGTCACACCCAGAAAGAATCTAGAAACCTCTGTGGCTTTTTCTCCAGAACTGGTCCTCCTTCATTCCTCAGGCCAGGTTAGCAGTGCCCCAGGGACCATCCTCTCAGCAAGCAGCTCCCTACTTGCTGGCCTTCCATTCTGCTTCTGTGGCCAGAGTGGGGGCCCCGGGGGCAGCCTCAGCCAGCACCTACACCTCGTGGGCTCCGTCACCCCACCCCATGGAGACTGGAGCCAAGGGTCCCAAACTTATAGGCATCACCTGGAGGTTTATTAGGTAGATCTGGGGACACCCTGAAATCTCTGTCCAAAGCACCCCAGATGACCGGTCAAGTAGGTGATGAAAACCAAGCTCCAGAGCGTTACGCCCCTTCTGACCCGTGGGGCCTGATTCCCGAGCATGGAGCACGTGCTCTGTGCTTCCTGTGATTGGCTCTGGCTAAAACGCCACTGAGGGAAGGGAAGCCTTTTCCCATCAGCCCCACCACCCCTGAAGGAGTCTGGCATGTCCTCTTCTGCCCCCACATAGCTCTGCACGTTTCCCACTCGGAACCCGTGCAGACACTGTTGGTTAGACCCAATACCCTTCCAACCTGGTCTT